CGAGTGAGGTAAGTAAATTTATGGTAATGCCCGCACTCTTTTTAAAAGATGTTTTGACTTGTTTTTGAAGTGGTGGCGGGACTAAACCCGTTTTAGGCAAAAGTAAGTATGACTGATTTGAAGTGAAGTTTTATGCTTTTCATTAAATTGAGCATGCTTACTTGAAATTTAATTGATTGCCCTGATGATATGAAAGTGATTAGTAAAGTATGATTTTCTGTTAACTTCAGCCTGTTTTGTCTCTGATGTGGTCATGTTTTTGTAATCCTGCTAGTGGGAGTTAAACGCTAGCACATGTCGGCACATGTCGATATGTTCCTGTAATCCTGCTAGTGGGAGTTAAACGCTAGCACATGTCGGCACATGTCGATATGTTCCTGTTAGAACCGGTTCGTTCCTGTAACCCTACTAGTGGGGATTTTACACTACTAATTCCTGTTGCCTACCAGTGGGAGGTTTAAACACTGGCCATGACCTATAGAAGAGACGTCTATTTCGTTCCTGTACTTGTATCCGTTTTCTGATTACACTTGTTGGCATGCTATAAGTTTAATTGACTACTACTGAACTTTATTCTGCATAATGGTTATCATTGAGCATTCCGTTTATGTTTAAACTGTTTATCTGAAATGCTCAAATTTTATCCACGGGCCATCCATACATTTACTTATTGAGATATTTTATCTCATAGTTTTCCCTTGTCCACCATTTCAGGTAGTATGACCCGAGACGCGAAAACCACGGGAAGTGACGAGTTAGAAGGCTAGCCATTTCGAGATTGATATAATTTTAGAAATAAATCATGTTTTTGTAAGATAGATTTTACCTTGTGATTTTAAGTTTAAGTCATGTTGGACATAGAATTATTGAAATATCTGATTTAAGTTATTGGATTGTCAGATGTGAATTGGATAAGTTTCGAGCCTTGTGCATTTGTGGGATCCTCTCACGAGTGCACGGCGTTTGTTACGCCTCGGATTTGGGTTCTGGGGCGTGACAAATGACCAAAACAAATATGTTCCAATGGGGTTTGTGTTTTTTTGTTGTCATGCTACTATTGCTTTTTTCTTTTTTTTTTTACTATTGAGATTTATAAGTGTTGTGTTCTTGAATTTGATTAGCGTTGTTTTTTGAAGGGAAATAAAAAAGGTGATTCTGAGGAACTATAAATATGTATATATTAAATTAATAAAAAAATTATTTTTATAAGATATTGAATTTATTTTTTAAATCTTTTGAATAATTTTCTTTGAATGATAATAAGTACAAATTATAGAAAAAAAAGAAAAAAATTCAATTGGGTCAACCCATATGACCCGTGATGGGCGGGTTAGGGTCTGCCTTCATTGATCCGTGACCTGTTTTAGCCCAACCCGTTTTGACCCGTTACCCCCTTTGACCCGACCTTAACCCGACTCAATCCGTCCGTTTGCTAGGTTTAGGAGGGAGGGTATTTTTGTTTTTTAATAAAATTTTATCAATTTAATTGAATAAAATTAATAAAAGAAAAAGAGTGATTGAGTGGTTGGTTGGTTGATGGATATATATATATATGAAATTAGTGTGTATCAATTTTGATTTTAAAAAAATTAAAATTTTAATTTATATTTAAATATTAATAGCTAATAAGATAAATTTTTAAATTTTAAATTGAATTTTAAATAAACAAAAAAATGTAATTAAAATTAGAATTTTAATTTTTTAAAAAAATCAAAATTGATATGTATTTTTCTTATATATGAAAAAATTATTTATATATAAATTTTACATATCATATTTATATTAAATTTTAATATAAAATTTCAATAATTTATTTTTTATTTTTA